TGTTTAAGTAGCCGTCGACTTGGTGGTTTATTACAGCTAAATCGTGACAAAAAAGATTCGCGATTAAGGATTAATACAACTGAAAGGTCTGTTCTATCCCATTCTTCAATTTTGACTGTTGCGTTTTCAAAATTCTCAAATAACTACAGTCGTTTGATGCTGCTAGTGCTCTTGGTTCATGACTCTTGATTTACGAAATAGATCCACATTGTGTTGATTTTCTCATGCTTGATTCTGTAGTTGTTGCTAACGCCCGGGAAGAAACGTACACCTTAAAATCAATAGAGATAAATAAATACTGATAACTGTTTCTCTAGTTCGTATGATTTCAATTCCCGTTCACTTTTCCGTCTATCCAATAACCACACCATCGTGGTATGTGACCTTGAAAGTGACAAACGATTGGACTGTTCGACCCCACAAAACAAAACAAATGCTACGAGCAGCTAAATCTAGTTCACTAACACTTTGCTCGAATAGGCTTGGTTGACTGTAAATCCCGGAGCGAACACAATGCTTTTCTATATCATTTGTGCACTTCTAATGGCGAATATTCGCGCGGAAGCACGAACGAATCGGCACATCCATTCCCTAGAAATGACCAGGAACGAAGTGGAGCACTTGAGCAACGGAACTGATTTATGTTTGGTGAAAAGAGGTACGTGTGTGGAGCACTGTTTGCGTTCTACACCCACGTTTCACGAGCCCAACACATTGTGCTATCAGACGAAATCGAATGACAAGCTCTATCAATGTGTGAGTCAACAGACCTGTCACGTACAAATTTGCTGGTGGCATACAAAAACCGCCTCAAAGTACTATGTTGGCATTGTTCATCCGAATATTTTTGTGGCAGGGTTGTCACAGAACATGCTGTTGGCGGTTTCTCATGGATCATATGATTTACCATTGGTGGAAGGCAGGTTTCTGGACAAAGAAGATTTCGACCACATACTGCTCACTGGTCCAAGCGAGTCGAAAGGTCCCTCGGTGCCAGTTGCTCTAATTGTATCCATGGTTTTGGTAACTGCCGTTCTCAGTGCGGCAATCGGTTTCGTTGTCTACCGCTACCCAGCTCAAGTACGAGGTGTTGTGGACCGCATCAGATTCCCGTATCGTCAGCCGAAGGCAACGCGTCTAGCCTAAGCACGTTTTATTCCTCAGAACGATAGACCGGTCGGGTTCCAAAGGCGAATAACTGTTATACCATTACAATTTATTTTCCAATGTGTGAAACTCGCCGGCATACTGCACAACTTTACCACATTCTTCATTCATTCGCTTTCACTTCTAATAAGGTCAGTTATTTTGCTGAATACACAAAAGTACTATCTGCTCGTTTTTTATCTCATCATTCACGCATTTTTCACAGAAATCCATGCTTTGTCATCTTGATACACCAATAAAGTGCATCATTAAATCAGTGCCCCCGTGAATCGCATCCTTTTCATTTGACATCAATCTCCTCAGAGTGCATTTTCTGTTCTCATATGCAATTTGAATTTGCATCGACCGATGTACGGGCCAATAAATGGTCGTTATATATATATATATATATATATATATATATATATGTATATGTTTTGCTGATATGAGCAATATGTATTGTGAAGCTGTCGCGCTGCAAGAGCTCGTGGAATACAAACCAGACTCAATCGCATATTACAGAGCGTGGTGCAAGACTGAGACGATGCATGTGTGTGATCCACCCTTCCTCCATCCTCTGTTATAAACATTTTCTTCCGTAATTCCGGAGTGCAGTGAAAATATTTTGCAGTTTCCAGTGGCATCACCTGGAGTTCAGGGGATTTTGCTAGATCTATAAAATCAAATCCTTGTTCATATACAAGATAGTCAGTGGGGGTGCGAAAAATGAGCACACCAAATATCATCATCCTAAGTATAACGGTTGGTGAAAAAGTAGTGAAAGGAAGATATTCTGTGCCCTATATATCTTGCAATTTGAACCAATATACGTACAGTCGGACCTCATGTGAGCAATTTCATTCACTAAGCAAAATAAACGTAACATTGATCACTGAAAAGACTTGCTACTAGTGCAAAACAGTCTCATTAATTTGGGACATTATTTACAAGGTCAATCCACTGAATTTGACCAGGTTCAAATCTGGTTTGGTACTTCGACCTTCCGTCAGTCCGGTGTTATCTAATCTGGCTTACCACACATCCACGCGACGGGATATGGCGTTTTGCTGAACCTACTGAACTCTATTCCTGTGCATATATTCAAAGCTGAACTCATTTCCTTTTCATATGAGCGATACTGTGCGTAAGATGGAGCATTTTCTAGTGAAATATTCTAGTTTCTCTGGTCGCCTTATTTTTTTATTACTCAAAAAATTACCACTTTTTTCTTCCTGTTTTGAAGTTAGCTTTACCTGTACTAAAAGAAATTTTTCCTGAACAATTTACAAGTCGAGCTCTCAAAAATGTAGTTTGAGGTGGAAAAAACAACAATTACCATCACGTTTAGCAAACAAACAAAATGTAACTTAAGAAAATCTCAAAATGAAATTATAAAAAAGAGCCTCAGAAACGCTTAACGACAAACTCATGAACTACTATACATCTTGTGCTAAATCTAAAACTCGTCATTCATTCATTCGCAGCCGAACAAAGAAATGGATAGAGCAAAGGAACTTTAGATTTAGCACAAGATGTATAGTAGTTCATGAGTTTG